GGGGTCGTTTCTAAAAAAGCAAGGAACATCTTCCGTAACACGCGGAAGTACCCCAAAAAAAACCAACAGTCCCCAATCCTCTCTTCCAGTACCTACACTGAGTGCAGTACTTGTACGCCCAACCTTGGTGTAAACTCTGTGTGAACAGACAGACAGACAGACAGACAGACTCCAAAGTTCAGGGTCCTCCTGTTGCGGCTTGCGGGTGCCTGACAGCGATGCGAAGCGAAGTTTGGAGACGCGAGAATAGTTGGAGGTGCGAATAAGAACCAACGAAGAAGAGAAGAAGCTCACAGACAGGGCAGGGATCCGTTCCATGTTGCTGTCACTGCGCAACACCTCGCACCTCAACTTGAGGTGGACGAAGAAGCCAAGCCTTTCCGCTCCCGCATGCCTCTTTAGTCACCGCTGGCGCTGGGTGGAAGTCCGGGATGGATAGGGAACTGCCCGGCCCCGCCCACCTGACTACTAATGTGTGTACTTTGCATGTAGGTTGCCCGTAATCCCCGACGGTATTCTTCGTTGACGCTGACGATGACTTGCTGCTGCGCCTGGCTGTGTGCCATCGAATTGTTCCCAATTGTTTCTCTCTCCAAGGGCTCAAACAGCCCAGCCACACCGCAGGAGGCCAAGCCCCCCAACCGCAATACCTTATAACCTCAAAGACTCACGACTCGAGCGTCGAGACACACCCGAATGGCGCCGAGAATCGTGGCGGTGACTATGACCTGTCTCCCCATATTGTCGAAAATTGGCCATGGGATGCATGACGTCGTGGGGCAGCACACCTGCATGCTGTGCAAGTACCTTCTCAACTTCTCATCCACCCCAGCGATGCGGAGCCGAGTGCCGAGACCAGACACAAGAGACACCACACAATACTAGTAGAGATGCTAGACACGGACGCAACGCCCACTGAGCTTCTTGACCAGGCTGCCCAGCCGCTGTTTCCTCGACACGCCTCACACACTTCAGCCACAACCGCTTCTTCAACTTCCCTGGTTGACTACACCTCAACTCTGGGCAACACAACGCGTCCAGTCTTGGCCGTGCTTCGCTTGCCATTTCCTTGTTCAAACCGTTTTCACGATTCACAGAGGCAATGCGCCGGACCCGCAGAGCAAGCAAGTAAGAAGTACAGAGTATAGTCATCAGGTTGCAGAAGGCGACTGGGCATGACTTGCAGAAGTTGCACATCGCAGCACATCATTCGTTGAAACGAATCGAACAAGTCATGAGCAAAAAAAGACTCCCTTGGTTGACCCCACCAAAAAAAAACATTATGTTATCAACTCACAACTCAGTCATCAGCCGCGAAGCTGTGCAAAAGAGCCAAGGCCGTAGACGCGCAATCATTGTCGCCATCAGCTCTTCCTTGGGTGCTTGGCTCCGGACGAGACCGAATCGCCTTATGGGGCAATCGACGTCTAGCGCCGCCCACTTCCTCACTGACGTATCCGCTCTCAGAAGCACACCTCATTCTTTCGTGAGATTCTACGGCCCTTTTTTTGGATGACTTTGTTCCCATCTATCCCCGCCGTATCCACTCTCGCAAAGACATCACAGAACAATTGCTTTTCCCATTGATCAACAAACATTCCAAGGCTGATTTCAGGCTCAGAGTCTCCAGAACGTGGTTCGGTTCGCCAAAACATGGGGGGAGTTAGTTGTGTTTCCCAATCTGTTCCCCCAACCGCGCCAAACTCTTTTGGCGCCGTAATACGACGGAAGCATGGAATTCATTAGACGGGCTTCTGGAACCCGCGGCCTGCGGACACCCGCCCGGACGATCTACCTTTAGTGCGACGTTCAAAAAGTAAGGTAAGTAAGATAGTGCCAAATGTCCAAAATCAGCCTGCGTGTTATACGCTGTCGCGCTCCGAGGAAATCGGAACGGCTAGAACAGCCCAGATAGGGAAGTATCAAGAGAGAGACAGAGGCAGGAATGACCCCGATCCCACACGCACCACCCAATCCTTGCGCCTACCCGGCTACGGTGCCGGAAGCCCAGGAGTTGAAGGACGCTGTAGGTAAGACGCACGGGGTGTGGGTCACCGCGCCCCCGTCGGGATTCGGAGCCGGCGCCCATTCGGTGATCGTCCAGGGCCCTAAACAACATGCATAATATCTCATTTAAGGAAGCACCTCGGCATGCCCGATTGCGTACCTGGTACGGAGTACTCGTAGGGCTGCCCGCGGACGGGATGTCACATCGCTTCGGGACATCGCCGGCTCTGCTGTCTTTTCGCAACTACCGACCTGGTTCACGGCAGGACTGTTTTCCCACGATTTGATAGTTTGTATGACTGATGACTGTTTTGCCAATTTGTGAGCTCTGTAGACTTTTTGTCGAACGCGTTTTCCATTTCCAGAGATGAAAGGGGGGAAAAAATCATGAGTTTGATGACGACAATAGAGACTGTTTCCGATTGTCGTAAGAGGTCTCATGTCGTACTCGCTTGGAGCATCAGGGCACGCGGGTGGTACAGTGTAGTCAAGAGCTCGCCGATACGTATGAAGAAAGGTCAGGCCGATCGAGGGCCAGATGCGAGCAGAAGGGTGACACCAAGGGATGTTCGAGTTGGACGTAGGTCACTGGTTTAGCGAGAAACCCGGTACATCGTCGCCGAACTCCACCGCATACCATCTTAAGCAGCCTATGTGGAGATTTCTCGGGATAGAATGCGGTCGAGCTCTCGTTGTGAAATTGTGAGCATACGATACTGGCTAAAGTATTTATGAGGGGCAAATCCCTAAGCTACATCGTCAATATTCTTGCAAGTGATGGATTAACGTAAACTCTGACCATGTGTCCGATTAAACGTCAGCCTGTCACACAATTTCAGAAGACGAGTTGCTTTATCGATCGTGGGGAAATGATCACGTATCAAAAGCTGCTCCTCAGTCGGCTGTGTGTCTCATTCGATATTGATTGCTTCGTATCTGCCAGAGAGCTGTTGGGGACAATCTATTCTAAGAGTGTATCCGTCTGTTATTATCAATAGAAAGCTGCCTCGAGTATTATCTCAAGCCCGTATGGAAGCTGATATAGAACTAATGTGGTAAGACATCAAGTCAAAAAATCATTGGAGTGAAAAGAAAAAGAACAAAAAGCGGTGCAAGCTAGAATCGAACTCAGACCTCACAAAAACAAAATCATCCGGGGGTCGACTCCCTTTGTGTGTTCTTGCAAGTGATCAGTCGCAACTACTGCGCCAGGAGGCTCCTCATCCGATGGTGACAGGTGAAGCAAATAATTTTGCCAAAAGCTACCCATATTCAGTGACTGTATGGCTCCTTCCCGACGAGGTCGTTGACCCTCTTCACCGCCTTGTATTTCCTCCGAAGGTTTACCCCTTTTTTGTCAAGTCTGGGAGTCACAAACGTGCGGTCTTCCCGGGAACCTCATTCCGATCACGTCCAAGAACTTACAGACGTTAAGTCCTACTTTGCTAATTCACCTACCCACTACGATCTCTGACTGCCGCATACTCTTTATTCCTACATCATTATAGTACTTGCTTTACATCATACTATAGCAGCTTGAAGCTATAGAAAAGGCGTTGGCGAAGTTGGATCCTAAGCAAGTCAGTATCAAAGCCATCGCAATCTCTCACCGTAATATACAGGGGCAGTATACATGTCCAGTATTAGGTAGAGATAAAAACCAATGATTGAGCTTCAAAAAGGATCTACCAAGGCTGGTCTATCGCATGTCCATGAAAACAAGGGGAAGCCTGCCTCAATCAGGAAACAGAATGGACTAGTCTGAGTACAGGGCATCAGCCCCCCATGTCAAACAAAGAGCTATGCCCTTCGATTCTGCTTCATGAGGGGATTCTCTTCGTCTTCGATACCGGTCTCGACTACATCGTACAACGCCACACCAGACAACACGGTGATAGCTAGGTATACAAGTTTTGTGCTAGAGAAGGTGGCTAAAGGCGGAAGTTTGCTACGAGCGCTCTTCGCTCCTGCCTTTTCGGTATTCCATTGCCCCGATGGCAGAATAACGTTCCCCCACGTCAGAGCTCCTTGAAACACAAATGGAAAACTGACGAGCCATCATTGGGAACTAGGATGGTTCGATAAGTGTGGGCAGTATCCAGCACTGCGCGGAACCAACTGCGCGTGATCCATGGCCATATCCATGGCCATGACGAAAGAGGATGGTGTAATACGAGGAGGTAAATCAAACCTATATTCTACGCGGTGCTTTCTACAGGTCAAGGCATAGAACCCTATTCAGTAGTCTAGCTAAGACCGAGAAGAGATATTAAGAATCAGAATGCACCGCGAGCAAATATCTACACCGAGATTGCAAACAAAAGAGGCAAGACCATAGGCCCAATGGCTCTCTCGTCGTGTTTCATCGCTACGCGTCTAATCTCATTCTACGTGATAATCTCATGCCGACAAGCTCGGATGACTTCCAAAGTGGGGGCAAGTGCCAGTACACTACGATACATAGAGCAGAGAGTCCCAAGCAAGATAGAAACCTAGTAATATACAGAGTCCGGCCGATTTCCTAGAATACGCCTGAATGCAAGGCCCTTGGACAATACGACAAGGCTTGATGCCGACTGAGCATTATCGCCGTATCGTACCTGAGGATGCCACACGAGGTTGAGAAGAAGGTGTGGGTTGTGGACATCTGCGACTATTGCCATGATGAAGCTTGAGGTATAAACCCCCTGGTAAAGCCTCTATATATCACGAAGATCGCGGGTGTGGGTAGTCAGACCCACGTGAAGCTCTCTCGATGAAAGTGGTGAGCAGAAGCTTTGGCAATGAAATAGGGGTAAGTTAGGTAGAATTGCGAACTGAATGGCTTTGAGAGTCGAAACGAGTCACAATCTTGCAAACGAAAAAGAAGCTATATTGTAATGAAACAATCTAATAATGCCTTTGTTGTGTGGGTATCATATTAATATGCAGTAACCGCAATGCCAAATGCCTTTTCAAACACAGTATATCACAAGTCGATCCTTCGAAGCTCCTCAAAGCTCGTCAAACACCCTCAACCGATCCTCTTCCTCCTCCCGCCCCCGTCTATCCTCCCACAAAGGCGACAACTTGAGCGCTCCCCCAGCCCCATCCACGCTCCGATTCGCCCCTTTCTCAAGCCCCTTCAACGCCCTCCCAGCAGCGCCCTCGGGATCCGTCGGCCCGCCGAGGTACTGCGCGCCCACAAACAGCAGAATCAGCACCGCAAACACCACCGACGTGACGATCCACACGGCCCGCAGCCTCTTGCGCGTCTTCTCCTGCCACTCCCGGTCCGCCCTCTCCCACCCCTCGATCCGCCGCCTTACGAGGTCGACGCGACCACTCAAGCCCTCGATCCTCGTCCGCCCGGACTCGATGCGGCCCTGGAGCGTCTTGATGCGCGACTCCTGCTCGCCGAACTGCCCGAAAGTGTCGAGCTGGCCCGCCACGTCCCGCGCCATCTCGTCGGCCTCGGAGACGAACTCGCCCGTCATCTGCCGCGAGGCCTCCGTCAGCTCGCGGATCGCCGAGATTGTGTTTTGCAGCATGCTCTTCTTTTCGAGGACCGAGTAGTACGTCTCGTCTAGTCGTCGGGTTGTCGCTGTTGAGAATCCGCTTAGCTCGACGAGCGAGTTCTTCAAGCCGCTATACGTAGAAACACCGACATGTCAGTCCCAAGCTTCTTCAAAGAAAGACAATCACGGAAGAGAACGTACGCAACCCTATTCGCCGTCCGACCTTTCTCCTCCACCAGTGCAGCCTCATTATTCACCTTCCTCAGCTTCCTCGAAGGCGGCGTAACAGCAGCCGGGTTCTCTCCACCCCCAATCATCGGCCCAACAAGCGCGCTCGTCCTCCGACTTGAGTCCGGACTCCTGCTAGGCGTCACATACTCCGACCTCGTCATGTCGAACGAGCTTCGCCCACCCAATCCACCAGCACCAGCAGCGCCGGGCGCTCTCTCATCCAAGAGCAGAAGCCTGTCCCTATCTTTCCGGCTCTGCGCGTTCAGGTGCAGCGCGTGCTGCGTCGGGTGGTGGTGGTGACTGTGCCGGTGCCGATGCATCCTCAGCGGCGGCGAGAACTCGGTGATGGAGCGCGTGATCTGGTGCCGCGGTCGTCGCGCGGGGAGTAGGGCGGCAGCGGCGGCGGTGGCCGTCGAGGTTGTGGCAGCAGTGGTAGGAGGGGCAGCAGTGACGGGCGCCGAGATCGGGACCGAAGCTATCTTATCGTTGTTTCTGGTCTTGCTCTTGCTTCTGCTGTGGCTGTGGTGTACGGATAGGTGCTGTTGTTGACCGTGGTTTTGGGAAAAGTTGGCGATAGCGGCTGCCGTCATCAACGTCGAGGCCGATGCCGACGGCAGCTCAAAGCCGTGAGCACTGTCGCCGTTGGCAGACATGGTTTCACCCTGTGCTTTTTCGTCCTTTTCCCACCACCCCCTTTCAAAGAAACTGGACGATAGAGAGAGGCGCTCCAGCTGCGGCTCCGCCGCGCTCAAGCAAAGCCGCACACGCCAGCGAGTACCTATGCTTGTTGCCCAGTGCCGCCCGCTGAAAGAGCGCTGAAAAAAAGAAGACCCTCCCCGAGCCAGACGATTTCTTTGGTTGGGACGGCCTATCCGTAGTTTAGACTTTTCTGACCTATGCCTGGAACGGTCAATGCTTTGGGCTTTTGGGGGGCAAAAGAGATGCGCTGGGTTTGTGTGTGTGGCTGTTTCCTTACAGAAGGGAGGTCGCAGTGTGGAAGATCGGGAAAAAAGGTGGAGGTGGAGTGTGCACGGAGATTTCCAGAATCCCCAGTGAAAGCTGGTCGTTTGGTGCTGCCTTTCTGCACACCTCTCTGTGTATGGGCCAATGACGCACTTTCACATGCGCCTCTCGGGGTCCTTCCCCGTTGTCATGAAACGTCGTCTGAACGAAACCACCGGCACTTTCCTTGGTGGACTTGCAAACTGCTGGTCCAGAACCCCCCTTCCCAAAAATGAGGATCAAGTCATACGCTTATTGTTTCTATGTAACTATGAATCGCGGCCCACGTTTGGCTGGGCTTCCATTGCCGCCATCTGGCCCTTTGATCCGATTTCACCGAGCGAAAAAAGCTCGGATGAGTAGCCTCATTGGGCTTTCTTCGTAGTACACATCGTAGATCATCGCAGATGGGATCAGCAGTTCCATCCCTCCTCTGTTCCGTCCCGCCGGCTCCGGATCCGCCTCCCTGTCGCCTGTCGCCCGCTCTGTGGGTTTGCTCCTTGTTGTAGCCTTGGTATCTCCACGGGGGTATCGCTTGACGATATAGCGTTCGGCCTCGCATAGCCCCGTGTGTGTCGAGTCGTTTGTCGACTGAGCTGTGCAAAATACGGGCGCGTTAGGCCCGACTCTTTTCCTCCACCACCGGAGTCTGTTTCGGAATTTGTCACGGGGGGAACGGCGCTACTCCTGACTTTTGTCGGCGCCGAGATTCGATCGTAGTGCCCTTTCCAATAGCAACTCTGCCCGTGTGCAGTCAAGCTCATGAATTGATGAGCTTGTTTCGCTTCTCCTTCCTTTTGAGTCTTTCCACACGCTTCTTGTGCATCTTCTCAGCCATCTTCTCGTATCGCTCCTTCTCTTCCTTGGCGGCTCTTCTGTCCTTGATAGCCTGGACTTTTTGCTGTAATTGTTGTCAGCCGAGTAGCCCGAGAGAGGAAAACAAGCATAGGGAAGCATCATCATACCTTGCGCTCTGCCTCCTTCTCGTCTTTCATCTCCTTCTCCTTGGCCTTCATCGCCGCCATTGCGACGCGCTCCTTGGCGCGCTTCTCGTAGGAAGTCAGGCCTGACGTCGGCCTAAATGCCTTCTTCGTCTCGTGCCATTGCTTGCCTAAAGGGAGAAAAAGTTAGCTTCAAGCTGTCGGATGAGCCCAAGAATGGGGCAGATGAATGTACCATTCTTTCGCATGCCAAGCGGCTTGTCGACAGCGGCAGTAGCAGCTTGGGGCTCCGCAGCAGACATGATGACAGGTGTTGAAGAATTGCAGACTTCAAAGGCTGAGGAACGTTAATTTACGTAGTCGAGATTTCAATGTGCAGCGGGCGGCATTCAAGGTCCCTCACGCCGAACAGAAAATTTCTTGCAAAGCGAGGGAATGCGGCGGGCGGGGCGCAAGGCTCTGCCGTTCAACCAGTTAAGATGTACGCTGTCACTTGTGGCGGTGCGAGTACCCAGAAAATAAGCTACCGTGCATGTGGCTGAGGAAAGGGTGCCAAGATGCTTCTCAGGGTCCTTGCTCCGCTCAGAAGCCAGATGTACATGATAATGGCGCCGCTTCGTGACAGAAGCAACATTGATACGACCCTCGAGGTTGGGAGTAGTGGGAAACCAAGAAAGAAACCGACAAGGAGTACGATCTCCATGACTTAGATGACGATGCTCAACTGGTTTCGCGATATACTTTGGATCTATTGCCTAAAGCTGACTCGCTACGTTGTTGTGCTTGCGAGAAGCCTGCCAAACGAGTCTCGTCATCAATAACCCGATGTACCTATCCGCCGTTTGAAATGACGTCCGAAGCCTGAGTCCTTTTTTTTTCTCTTGTGTTATTCTCTTTGCGCCGCCGTCTAACGGCTGTGGCTCATGGCTGGGCCTGGCTTTGAGACATCATATCGATTGGTGCCTCAAGGAAAACGAACTTCGGCCGGGAGCTCGCATGAAGGACTGGTGTGTAGTGTCGGCAGAGATGAATGGCGTTGAGATTTGGTTCTTGTCAAGGGAACAACAACAAATCAATCAAACTGCGGTTGAGATGTACCGCCTCTAGGCAGGCAAGCTCATGTCCGACGAAGTGGCGGCGCACGAGGCTGCCGAAATGACACTGAAAAGACATTCCTCCTTTCCCCAGCTGCCAACTTGGCCAAGACTATCAGATTCTGGAGTCGGCATCCCTGCCCCCCGAATTAATCGAACGCGTGCCTTGTCACGTCAAACTTGGATATCCCAGATATTAAACACTAGGTTCCCGATGTTTAGAGCCTCTAGTGATCCTTAAAGATGATGTCTTTACTGGTCGGCGCAGGGATACCGGAGCAAATATTGACGGGGAATTAGGTAAAGACAGCTGGCACAAAAAATTTGAACAACGGCGGCACCTAAAATTTGTGATGACTTGGCCACCACTTCATTTCATTACCGAGGGCGTGGGGTCATGCTGAAAGCAGCTGCTGGTCAATCTTGCAGGCGAGATTAGTTTGGGTCACCCGCAATTCAACCGGACCCGGCTTGTTCAGAATTGCCGCCAGCAAACGTTGAAAGGGTCGACAGAGGGCCACCAGCTGGCAGAAGCGTAGGGGATAGTTGGGTGAGGTATTCTTAGAACAGTTGGCAGATCGGATCGGATATGAAATGATGCAAGTCAGTATGGTTTGGGCCGGAGCCGCGCTTGCAAAAAAATTGGTGGGAGTTCGGGGGAAAGAAACATTTGACAAGGGAAGAGTACGAAATGGGAATTGATGGGGACTGAACATCCCAGTCGGGGTGGAGATGGCTGTCAGCCAAGGAGGCAAAGCACCATCACGAGGATGATTTTTGTTCCCTGCTGGGAGATGAGTGTTTGAAAGGAGGAACTGTTCCTGATTTGCTTATGGAGGATTCTGCCCGTGGCAGGATTGAATACGACCATCAGTCTCGGCATGTCATCGACCAAGGGTTTCAACATGGTGGCAATAGATATCCGTACGGATAAACAGCAGAGATGCAACTGATGCGTTATTCCTCACCGCGTTGTATTTAGTATCGAACGAAGAACCATTGTCAAAATCCCTCTCGTCGATATCAAACCGAAGTGCCTCATTCTGTGTTCGATTGGTGCGTGGCGTCATGCAGGTCCGTCTGTGCACTATGCAACTTGAATTCGCGTAGTGGGTTCGAATGCAACATGGCGATTGACAGGCCAGATTGGTTGGAGCGATGCAAGAGGCGCGAAGGTTATCATCTGTTGCTTCTGCAGGTGTATCTGCAACTCTCAGGGTGAGTGAGCAGCAGCCGCATGAGGGCGGCTTGGGAAAAGCATCGGGCCTTGGTAGGCCAGCAACGGGTAGAAGCCGCCTGTTTGTTGATGCTCGTCGCGATGGGCGACTCGGAAACGTTTGAAGGGTAAAGAGTTGATGGCCAGGCCACTAAGCAAAGCTAGTCGTTTGGGGATAGCTTCGCCTCTTTGTCATACTTTGATGCCATGGGTTGAACCGTGACGGCGCCGTCGCACGAAGAACCTGTTCATTTTTCAACGGGCTGGCGGACGTTGATCAGAGCTAGGTAAGACCAGGCTTGGAAGAAATTCGGCGGGCCCAGTCGTTCGATCAAGAGAGCTCCTGGTCCGGCTCCGACGCCCGAGTTTGCGACTGAGTTAAGATGAGGCTCCCGACCGTAGCAACGAAAATGAAAACAGACTTTAGAGTTAAGCCGCGTGATACTCTCTTTGTTCCGCTGTAAGCAATTGCAAGCCTCAGATAAACCATCCCTCGGGCGGTTTATCATAGTTTGTGGCTTCCTCAAACGTTGAAGGCGCCGCCGAAGCTGTGCAATGATGGCTCGACGCGCACTACCCGCACAAAGCCCTGGAATCGATTGCTGCCGTTGTGAACGTAAACGAGCGCTCCGTGCATACGAACTGGCCTGCCATGCCTGCCAGTGACAGAAGAAGACATAGCCCTGTGTGGGGTTGTATGGTTGTGTTGCCTTTGATGCTCCATCAGCTCCGACTGTGACATGCCCCCCCACTACTACCTAGGCGGCCAAGTGGGTTGAGGAAACGGGGGCGTCAAATACGGGAACATGGGAGAAATAAGGTAATGATCCCATCTCATCCCATCCCATCCGGAAAGCGTGTGGTGGTTGCCAATGATAGGACATGAAATGTTTCCTCTAGCATCATGTCGCCATTGCTGTCCCGGTACGACGATTTGACAGATGCTGTGCGCCAATTGCTGAAAAGACGGACGGCATCAGTCGAATGTCCGCATACCATCCCGATATGCGAAAAGTGAACAACTGAAGAGGCAACTATTGACAATGGCATTCGTCTCCCTCGGAACGCCTCTCCATTGTCCTCCGTACCCTATTCACAATAGTGAGGTATTCGTAGACACTCGTAGCTGTGGTTCCAGTGGATCCAGAGATTTCCCTTTCCAGACTAAGGAAAAAGCAAGCAGATCTGCCAGGTGCTATCGGTCATCTGGCCGATTGAAATAAAATGGAGATGGGAGGGGTCTTTGAGGCTTGGAGGGGGGGCCATCGTCTCCTCTGGGCCTGGGGGTACGCGGGCGTTTCTGAAGCCCAGCAATAAAGAGTGGATAAAGAGTGACGAAGGGACCTTGGCACATATGTTTTACACCCCTGGCCATCTCTCGTTCTCAGGACCGTAAGCCA